TGTGGCGCACATAATCAATTTCCTTGCGTTTGACGTTTACACACTACAGCCATCTGTTGAGTGTTTTGCCCATCACAGTGTATGCGGCAGATCTAGATAGCGGTAGGGTTAGAAATGATAAATGTTCAATGTGGTGTGTATGTTTGTCTGTGATATAATATTGACGTAACGTTAGGATAAAATCGAAGAACACAAATCAAGAAGACTGGTAACTCTGCCAAAAATCAGGAGACAGTAACGACAATACCTCTTCTGAGCAAAAGTGGAACCTGTGTATGATGGTGTGTGTTAATTCACGAGTGCATTCACACACATGGGTAGAAATAAATAGCTGTCATTGATTGGTTTTGTTATGATTGTCGTAAAAAGTGAAACGTTTCTTTCTTTGCTCTATGCTGACGAGTAAAATTCCAGCTGAAATTGAATAGATGCGTAAGCAAATTTGTTTTGAAAATTAAAACTATGGCTATGATGGTAGGACCTTCCTCCATCATTAATTTGCTATCTCAAAATTATCTTCCACTTTTCCTTAGCCCTTTAGTGATGCATTTATGGGCATTCGTATGGTGCATTCCTAAAATGCATGCCAGTTCGCACGGCTTTGGCACCTGGCCACAGCGGGGGGAGTGAAGTTGAATGCTCGGCAACTTGGCACAGTACTCGCTGACCATTTGAATGTCACTGGCCAATCCGACACTGTTCTTATCATTCTCTGGAAGGGGTCGGTCGATTCCAAGAATTGTGAAGCATACAGAGGATCACTATCCGTTGGTTTCATGTTCTGACAACATCTAAATTAGATAAAAATTCTTTATCAAAACGTACCGTTTGGGATTGTAGTCCTTCAACCTTTCATTTTCATTTTCTCCAACATTAAATACTGCTACACTTTCCGTTGGATCGTGATGTACGTACCGGATCTTTTTTCTTTTTGAATCCTTGGTGGAGGAAGCTGCCAATTCCTTATAATTGATTGCTTCCAACAGGCAATTTAAACAATATTTCGGTTCCCCGTTCACAAGTAAAAGTTACTTTCACTAGGTATCGATCCGAGTTTCAATCCTCTACTTGATCCACCATGACAAGTTTTTCGGCTTGGAGTTGGAAAACCACCGGCTTGCTGGGATTAGGATACAAATTGCCGTGAAATTTTGTAGAGCAAACCAAAAACCAACAACGAGTACCGTGTTATGCTTATTCGTTTCGGTGACATTAGGTCACACACACAGTCACTGTTAGTGAGCAGTGTAACTAACACTTATGCTTCAAAGTTCCACCTTTGAAAAAAAAAGAGGCACTGTTATTAGTGACGTTTGACATTTTTATGGGAGTAGAGAAAAGTTGCCAGTCTTCTTGATTTGTAGTCTTCGATAAAATCAAAACATGGAGAAATATAACGCATCACTTTCAGGAATTGAGTTCACGAATACACGTCAATCTATCCAGCGGGACAAACTTAACGAATTTAAAAGTTGATACGTGTTTTGGAATGTACCAATAGCGTACCATAGCGTACCCTCAAGGATTTTGAACGTACCTCATCGACCAGATTTCTACGGAAATGTGACGTACCAAATGCGTACTTTACGAATCTCTAATTCATTTTTAACGTACCTCGTATTTTCACTTAAATGCTTATACTAAACTTTTTAAATCAGTTTATATATGAATTCTGGTTACGGAATTGAATTTTTCGGAAAATTTAAGCCCGATTTCGTATAAAAAACAGTATACTCAAGCATTCTAACCAATTTGAGGACCAAAAACAGTTTTATTTATTTGCATCTTTGCATATGTTTATACTAATTTCGAACAAAAACCGTTACTTTCATGAATAATTATGGAGATGCACGGTGCTGATTGGAAAACTTCATCATGAGAAATGCCTTGAAAACTTTCTGATCGGTGATGACCAACGTACCTAACTGAAAATCACTTTTTAGTAGAATTTACCAGTGATTAAAATAAAAATTAATTTTTGAAATTTATCATCCGATCAAAAAGTGTTCCAGGGATATTAAGGAATAATTTTAAAAAGATATCTGATCTTTTGATCAGCTTTTCTCTAACGAATTATCGAAAAAATTGAATTTTTTAAATAATATTAATTTTGATTTAAATCACTGGTAAATTCTAACAGAAAGTGAATTCCAGTTAGGTACGTTGGTCTTAATCAATCAGAAAGTGTTCCAAGGATATTTAGAAATCAGTTTTGAAAGATATCTGATCATTTGATCAGTTTTTTTCTTATGTATCATCGAAAAAATGGAATTTTTACAATAATATTAATTTTTAATTAAATCGCTTGTAAATTCTATCAGAAAGTGATTTTCAGTTAGGTACGTTGGTCATGACCGATCAGAAAGTTTTCAAGGCACTTCTCATGATGGAGTTTTCCAAGCAAGACCGTGCGTCTCTATAATTATGCATGAAAGTAACGGTTTTGTTCGAAATTAGTATATTTTTAAGGAATGCAAATAAAAAAACTGTTTTTGGTCCTCAAATTAGCTAGAATGCACTTAAGTATACTGTTTTTTTATATGAAATCGGACATAAATTTTCCAATAAATCTAATTCCGTGCTCAAAATTAATTTATAAACCGACTTAAAAAGTTTAGTATAAGCATTTAAGTGAAAATAAGAGGTACGTTAAAATTATGAATTACAGATTCGTAGAGTACGCATTTGGTACGTCACATTTCCGTAGAAATCTGGTCGATCGACTTGGTCATTGCTGAAATCGTATGTCTATCCAGCGGGACACGGGTTTTCCGGGAAGCTTTGAGGTACGTTCAAAATGCTTGAAGGTACGCTATGGTACGCTATTGGTACATTCCAAAACACGTATCAACTTTTAAATTCGTTAAGTTTATCCCAATGGATAGATTGACGTCACGAATACTACATTTGAATATCATTTTACACAAACTAGTGTATACTGTCATGTGCACGGTAATCATCGAACACCCATTTAAAAGTAAAAGTTAACCCACAGTCTATAAAAGTGGCACTACTCATTAAGAAGTAATTTATCATCCCTAGTAGCAGCAACACATTAAATTTTAAAATAATTTACTCGTTAATAAGTAATGCAACTTTTAATGTAAATGGTTCAACTGTTACTCATATATGGGTATTTGATTCTTACCGTGCATACAAAGTGTTTGTTTTCGTTTTGTTGTTTATTTTTATTTTCGATTGACAGTTCTTACAGCTAACAAAAAATTTCATTTCTGCAACACAAGCAAATCGCACCAATACGAACCCGCATGGAGAGGACTAAACATTTCGCAACCGATGAACCATTCTGACGGCCATATGAGTACCCAAGTAACCATTTAGTCGCAATATAGCTTGTATTTACTTACTTTGCTTCAGTATGGTTAGTTGGGGAATCTGATGAAACTATCATTTCTTGAAACTAATCCCTTTCGTATTCCATTTATTCTCTTTTCGCACTTTGCATATAACATCATCTCATACTAATCTCTACATTGACTCAATGACTTATTCCAAGTGTTCGGTGGACCAGCAACTTAAGACGCGAGCCTTATGCCAGATGACCATGGCAATACAGTAACAGATGGTGGACATGAGATCGACCACACCAACCAGCAAGGAAGAGTCAACATCGAACCAGGTACAAGTACAAGGGATTCCAAAAGAAGCAATCTGCCGTCAGACCAGCGGAACATGGTGAGACCGAGCCAATTATTATTTATAAATTAAACATCAAAATCAACATTCAAAGTGTTTTTATGTTACTTCATACGCGAAGTTAACGATTTTCAGAGTTGGTTGGAAATGCTAACATGAAGCTTTAGTGTGATGATTTATTAGCTAGATAATGATCTTTAGAAGAGGGTAGGTGGATAGTTCCGTTAGAGTACGGCAGTATGACTAAAAACTGTCGCATTAATGGCCCTTCGCTCATTTTCAACTTCTATTCAATTTTCATACTGCCGTACTCTAACGGAACTATCCACCTACCCTCTTCTAAAGATCATTATCTAGCTAATAAATCATCACACTAAAGCTTCATGTTATCAAAATCCAACTTAAAAGGGGATATGGCTCTAATGTTGGCCTTTGGATCTAAGATTGGGCCCATCGCTTAATCAGCTATTAATCAATTTTATCTAGATGAACGCGTCATTGGGACGGTACTAATGGATATTTTGGGTCACTATTGAAAATTTAGTCGATTACTGAATTTATGTTATAGTTAGTCGCGTACAGTGCTACACTGAAACAAAATCCATTGGCAAAAACACTACATTACTAGAGTTACGTTGGAACATCTACCCGAGTCAGCAGGTCGTTAACCCAGCAGCGGACTTTGCCACAGCGAGGCACCACCTGAGTCAGCGGATCGTCAACCTGGCAACGGACTTTGATACGATTTCATCGAGGAGCACGGTCAGCAGATATAGCTTATAAGTAGGACTAAGCATGATAGGAACGTAGTCAGATAGTATTGTGAGTTAGGTGAATTACGTGCGAAGTGCATAATTCTGTGTGAAAGTGAAGAATCAGTGAAAATAAATGTTAGTTAGTTGAATTGTCCTTTTTTATAAAGGTTATCACAGCCAGACACTCGTGATTCTAGTTTAAATTAAATACCCTCACCAATAGATTTTTGCAGAAAATAATTTTATTTTTTTTACTACTACTTAATTACTATTGCATTTTGAGCAAGCATAGAAGTTTTTTTTTCCAGAATCATAGTAAAATTGTTAACATTCATCGTCAACTAAACTGAATTCATAGAATATTTAACAGTAATAAGCATGGTTATATTGATAATAAGTGTTTCTGCAAAATAGTATTCCTAACTATGGTCCTAGTTTCAGTGTAAGGAACCAAATGTGTAAAGTGGCATGTTGGACAATAACAAACAACTGTGCAAAATTAATCGGCAACGGTCAGTTAAAAACATCGGAAAAAATTCGCCATTTGAAATGGACCCGCTCAAGTACAGGAAAAAAAAATCAACTTACCTATTAAAGAAGGCACTTGCTTTCGCCGTTGGACCCTGGTAATAAATTTCTCCCTTCTTCACCAACACGATATCACTGAAGCAATGGAACGCATCCGACGTCGGATGATGAATGGTGCAAATCACAGCTTTCCTCCCTTTGGTTGCTAGCTTTCTTAGAGTATTCAACACGGCGAGCGCACTGAAGCTGTCCAATCCCGTGGTCGGTTCGTCGCAAAACAAAATATCCGGCTCCGTGAGCAGCTCACCCGCCAAATTTACCTTCTTGCGTTCGCCTCCAGACAAGTTCGAAATTCTCGTATGTTCACACTTTTCCAAGTTCAATTCTCTGATAACATCACCCATTTGAAGCCGGCTGACTCCCTTCAACTGTGACTGTAAACCGATAAGTAGCGATAACGTCATCTCCGAATCAATAAGCATTATCTCAGAAGAGGAAGCGACCTACCACAAACCAGAGATGCTCCCTCACCGTCAGCGATCTGATAGCGATCTCGAACTGTGGCACAAATCCAGACAGTCGCTTCATCTGCGTCTGGCTCACGTACAGCCCATTGATAAGCACACTTCCGTGGACTTCGGCAACCAAGCGCATGGCCGCCGCCGCTAGGAGAGTCGTTTTCCCGGATCCACTGAAGAAAATAATTTCAATTTGTTCTGCCACTGAGAATTGCGAATTTCAAACTCACTAACCTTGCACCCATCACGGCTACCAGATCACCGGATCGAACCGCTCCCGTCGCTGTAGAAGCAATTACAATCAATCGTCAACCAATTTCGCGCATGTCACTGATAAGCCACTAATAAGCTCATTGAGAACAATCCTTACCATTTTTCAAGATGTAGCTCGGCTCGTCCGATTTGCTTCTGAACTTCCAAAAACTGCGACCTCCTGCTCGGACTGACAGCGATTTCCATTCCAGCAGAACGTTCGATTCGTTGCGTTTTATCCTGGCATGATCGTGCAGTTCCATGTGGATGCAACTTCTTTCGACGAATCACACTTGTAAGGTTTCACTCCAGATCGACGCACACAGGCACTGTCTATCGTCCGGCTGGCTAACGGAATCGAACTGAAAGCATGATGGCAATATTGTAACGAAATCAGACAAACCTTTCCGAGCTCAGCTAGATTATGCTTTGTTGACGCTCTCACCGAGGCTTAGAGTGTGATAAGGACTAGAACGATGCTGGTTTCGGACGCAAATACAGACATATGCGATGCGATGCGCTACGCAATGAGCATGAGTAACCAGACTTTCTGTGGGACTAATCTAGTGCACAGTGGGAAAAGGGCTTCGAATATGCTCATGCTTCATTTTGTGATAAGCTTATAAGCACTGGATGCACCAGGATCAGGTTTAAGCATTTGATCATTGCTACATGTTCGTAAAAAAAATAGCATAACTTTACAGTATAGGGTGTCCCAGAAAGTATAACCACAACCACAACAAGCCGCCACTTACATCCCGATGGAGTTGAAAAGCTGTTGTTCAAATTGTCAATTCTCAACAAAGGTTCAACGGATTTTTAAAATTTAAATATTTTGTAAATTTAACATTTTAAATTATCAAAGAATAGTTTAGGAGGCGGATCTCTCAGGGGGGAGAGGGGTCATTGTTAAAAAATATCCATGAAGTGGCATATTTTCATGTTAGATTTGTTTATAAAGGGTGTTACGAATTTGGTCAAACAAGAATGCGTGTAAGCTGTTTATTTAAAAAAAAATCGAATTATTTTCTTTTTTATGTTCAATTAGTACAAAGTACAGAAAATTCAAATAAGCTTCCAGTTCACCATATCCGAATTGTCTTTCGTTTAACTCCTGTCGTCAGATTCTGTACAGCCACCTCGTCCACTTTATTCGCCGCAGAAGGCTTGTTTGCCTTAAACTGCTTCTCGCTTCCAATAGGTTTTTGTGTCTTCTCCAGGTTCCACTTAACGGTGGCCCAAAATTTTTCGATTGGACGGAGCTCTGACGTGTTGGGAGCGTTCTTGTCCTTGGGAACCACCTGCACGTTGTTGGCGGAATACCACTCCATGTCCAAATCCGGTCAAAGCAGCACGGCACAATCGTGTTACTTCAGGAAAGGCAGCGAACCTTTTTCCAGACACTCGTTCACGTAAATTTTCTGGTTCACCGGGATACGAGAAAAAATAACAAACTCCCAACTGAAAGACGGTGGAGGAAAACTTCTGAAAGACGAAAGAAATTGGGCAGTGGAGTAGGCAGGAAGACGAAAAAAGTAAGAGGTTGTATCCAAGACACGACCGTAGATTTGACGTAGGATTACGAAAGGTAGTTTTGACACCAACAAACTGACATGAATGACCATAGCAAAAACTATAAAATTTCTAACCAAAGCATACTACTGACTAGAAACACTGGAATAAGAGACCAGCGGAGAAAAAAAACATGAATTTGGCAACAAGATAAACATCAAAGCAATCCTGGCATCACTTGCATTTGTAGCTGCTTGCGAGTGACTTCGCCAATGCACCGACGAGCAGCGCTGCCATTTATACAGATTTATCTGTATTATACAGATTTTTTAATCTTAATACAGACCCGATACAGAATACAGATTTATCACAGATTTTTGAATTACAATACAGATTTATACAGATTTTTATAAAATGCTTGAGAAAAAAAAAATTCAAAATTTATAAAAACAAAATAACTTGATCGATTTTATCAGCGTATCACCTTCTCTCCAAAATTAATTGTTGTGCTAAAAACCATATATTTTGCAGTGGGATCTGCTCGAGGCGTTGCTGTTTCTTTTATGCTTCTCTCACTCCTTCCAACGGAAAACGCAGTAACGCCCGATTCCACTGTGCGTTTATATAGCTGCCGCATGATGACATCAAAATTTGATGTATTTTTTTTTGTTTTTTCGGCATGCATGCAATAACATGTTGATAACTAAATTTGTAATCTAAATAAAATATCTATATCAAAATAAGTTATCAAGCAGTTCTCACTTATATCAATATATGTTATAATTTTGATATTCTTCGCATATCTTTTAGCTCTCATTTTTGTTCTGTTAGCCATCAACTCCATCAAAATGAAATCAATTTGAGTTATCAGGAATAATGAAAACAACATAATTCTTGTTTTCATTTTGTTCTCACCCTCTGCTCGGGAACCTATCAAATTTCCATCGACAATTAATCATGTTATGGTGTTTTTGACAGCATTCACAACCAGAGGACCAACCGGTTTCGGATGCATATGGAGCTGGTAGTAAACGATTTGAGATTGTATGGGGATTTACAGTATTAATTTAATATTTCCAATATAAGCATGTATGTTAAATACAAGAAAAGTGCCCAAGCACATTAAAATGGTACAAATACAAGTACTCGTAAACATTTTACTTGCATTGAAAATGTATTTCGTAGGAAATTGCGGATTTTCTGATATTCTCCATACTGCAAAAATGATTTTACCAGCACTGGCGGGGCGACATCTCTCGACTTTTTGGTGTAACTACCACACAAATGATGTAATTAATTGTATTCGTCTATATTAAAAATATCAAATAGTAATGAACTCGTGCACTTTTTTCCATTTAAAACTGCTTATCAGGAAGATAATGAATAGAAACTAAAATCTCCATACATTTTCAAACGGCTTCATATCACTCTTATAAATAAGTACGGACGATATCACAAATGGCGCAATTATATCTCGTATGGTTAGTACGATAGCCCGAATAGGTGGTTAAGCACTTTTTATGGTTATTTTGTATGCACTGTATTTGTAAAACAACAAAACATGATTAATTAAGAAAAAAATCGTCAATACAGAAAATACAGATTTTTTAATAGAGTGGATACAGATTTTTTATAAAACCACCTGGCAGCTCTGCCGACGAGCGAGTTCATGAGTGATTGTTAAACGATTTTAATACTCCTCCCTAATTGAAGCAAACCATTTGTAAACATTGCAGATTGGAACCGCTTTTGACAGTTCGATTGGAATCATAACAGTGTCTCCGCTGGTCTCTTATTCCAGTGTTTCTACTACTGACATCTGGCTCCGTGTTCGCCGGAAATATTTAGCTACACGCTTACTTCAGCTTACTCACCGGGTGAGTCGATCGTACTCAATTTCGGCTGATGCATTAGGTTGTCAAAATCTGAGTAAACAAGAAATGTCAAACTGAGTAAAAGCCACTCAGTCAGCCAAATCCGGGACTTCGAAACAAATGCCAGCCGTGTCGGAGCAAACGGTCTAAGAAATGGCGAAATTATTGTAAAACAACTCCGGCCGAAATGTATTAAGGTAAGTAGGAATTGCATGCGGAGACAGTTTTCAATCGTCTTCAGCTCCAGTTTAATTAATCTGGAGCAGGTAATTTCCATTTTTTTTATCAAATCAAATAAAGTAAACAAACTTCCCGGCTGAAAATATCACAGAGTTGTTTTGACTCACTCTGCGCGATAACGTCATTAACTCAAAAGTGAGCAGCCATAGTTCCCGCTGAAATGATCATGTTCGACTCAATTTTGAGTTGTTGCGAGTTATCGTGTAAGCCATGAACCCGCATGCAAAAGTTATGAATTGGTTCGTGTCTCATCTATTCTGGACAATTTTCTTTATCTAGTTCAAAAACTCCTATGGTTTTTACAGTTCGGATCACTGCACATTTAAATCGGTCGTTTACGATTTTCGGGCATAAGTTAGAATTAAGTGTCATGTCAGTTTGTCGGTGGTTTTGATGTCACAGCAAATGTATAGTAAATTTTAAATTGATTTTTTAACTCGTTATCAGTGAAAAAGTTCGATAGGTTGAAATTCGGAAGCAATTTGAGAGTTCCGTGTTTGAGGTGCTCTGTCGGTGTCAATGTAGAAGCCAACCTAGACGGTATATCTTAGATACAAGCTCTTATTTGAACTCCTTAGTAAACTCAACAAGCCGCCCTGAAAAAAAAACAAAGTTGCAAATACCGAAGAAAGAAATACGGATCAGAACAATCGGCACAGACCTACGCGACGAAATAAGGACTACGATTGGAAACTCGGAACATGGAACTGCAAATCGCTCGGCTTCCCGGGTTGCGATAGGTTAATCTATGACGAACTTCAACCACGCAACTTCGAAGTCGTAGCACTGCAGGAACTTTGCTGGACGGGACAAAAGGTATGGAAAAGCGGGCATCGAGCGGCTACTTTCTACCAGAGCTGTGGCACCACCAACGAGCTGGGAACCGGCTTTGTAGTGCTGGGTAAGATGCGCCAACGCGTGATTGGTTGGCAGCCGGTCAACGCGAGGATGTGCAAGTCGAGGATTAAGGGCCGTTTCTTCAACTACAGCATCATCAACGTGCACTGCCCACACGAAGGGCAGCTGGAGCAGTTGTACGACGGCTGTTCGCAACGGGACGTCAAAATCGTCATCGGCGACATGAACGCTCAGGTAGGACGAGGGGCAATGTATAGACCGGCAATAGGGCCAAACAGCCTGCATGTCGTATCGAACGACAACGGCCAACGATGCGTGAAGTTTGCAGCCTCCCGGGGTATGGTAGTTCGAAGTACCTTTTTCCCCCGCAAGGATATCCACAAAGCCACCTGGAAATCACCTGACCAACACACAGAAAACCAAATCGATCACGTTCTAATCGACGGGAAATTCTTCTCCGACATTACCAACGTCCGCACGTACCTTAGTGCGAACATAGATTCGGACCACTACCTAGTTGCAGTATGCATGCGCTCAAAACTCTCGACGGTTCATAACACCCCTCGAAGTCGAAGGCCGCGACCCAACATTGAGCAACTACGGGACGCCGGAGTTGCCCAGGACTACGCGCAGCAGCTGGAAGTTGCACTACCCACGGAAGAGCAGCTTGGCGCAGCTTCTCTTGAAGATGGCTGGAGGGACATCCGTTCAGCCATAGGTAGTACTGCTGCAGCGGCACTAGGTGCTGCAATCCCGGACCGAAGAAATGACTGGTTTGACGGCGAATGCAAACTGTTAGTAGAGGAGAAGAATGCAGCACGGGCGAGAATGCTGCAACACCACACGAGATTGAATGTGGAGCGATACAGACAAG